TAGTTGATCTCCCTTGTTTCACGGACGCTATGAGGGGGAGGCGTATTCGCTCGCTGGAGGGAGAGTTTTCCGGGAAATGCCGGAAAACACTGGAAAAAGTAGTAGGAAGTTGGGAAAATCTAGGAGAGTGGTAGGTAGGATGGGGAGGGGGTTCGTATTTTGCAGGAATTCATCACAATTGGCGCGGCGCCAGCCTCTCCTGCAATGGCTGACGAGGGCAAGCGAAAACAATTGGGCATGTAAGAGGGCTAGGTTCAGCTCGGGCTGGCGCCGAGCTAAACATAGCCCTCGTACATGCCGCACCATCCGCAGCAAACAAGGCACCGAGACACTCATCAACTTCATGGAGTTCAAATTGTGCTTTGATGAAAGTGAGTTGAATGCTGATCGATTTTCTCAAGTGCAATCCTAAACTGGAACTTACGTGCCGTCCTCAGCGTCGATTTTCTTCACATTGGAGATAAGGTCGAACCCGGTCTGTCGACCATCTCGCAGCACCTCGCCTAAACCATCAATTTTTGGAATGAAGTGTTGCATCTTGCTCTTCGTAAGAGTGGTCTTTTCAGGAACAGTCTTCGTACCCGCTCCCATGCCGAAGCAACTAACCGCTAGCTGATCGTGCTCCCTGCTAATGGTGGAATGTTCCACTTCCGGAGAGGGCCAGAAAGCATCAGCCTCGAGCCGAATAATCGAGGCTCCCGATATTTGGCAGCTCTCAGGGACGCATGACTGAGATGATTTTGGTGCAGCGAGTCAGCTAGTTAAACTCCTTATCCCGGAGCTGGGTGCGCGTGACTGCGCTTCCATCATGGCGCGCCGAATGTTTTCCATTACATACTTCATTTGAGACAAATTACAACACGTTGCTGGGCAAAGGTATTACAGTTGTTTCGATATCTCACCTGATGTCAGCAGTGTTCAAATGAAGTACGCAGTCACGCCCACCCCGTCTTCGGGGTATGAAGTGTGCAAGAGTTGGCTTTCGCGCAATGACACACCTTGAGCTTAACTCAGACCTCGCGATGACGTGAGTTATCCAGCGAAACCGTAAAGATGCTGAAGTGGACCCATTTACCACGCACGCGCGAGATCTGTTTTGTTGGTTCCTTCTTTTAGATTGACTCATTAGCTCGATTGGCGCTGTTTGCCTCGAGAAGCGTTCAAAGGACTCCTTCTGAGGAGCTGCCAAGTAAAGTAGATGAAGACTCCTGTTCAGGCCCAGGGAAGGAAGGATCTTGGGGATAAGTGAACCAACTCTTTTATTTAAAAGGAGATTTCGCGCTACAATAGATCCAGTTTTACTCAAGGAGTCCTTCATTTGTATGTTCCCGAAGGCGATTAGCGCTCCATCTTTTTATCTTTGTAATTCTAACCATAAGCAGTATAAACGTACCACCGCTGTAAACCTCGCCACTGTGTACAATTGGTCGACCAACTTCTTCCGCAAAGCGCATGCCCTCATAAGTGCAGCACTGGAGACGGAGACTGAATAGCGATGTCATATCGTCTTATTTGAAATCAAGCACTTCGGTAATTAGAGATGTTAGAGTCTCACCTTCCGTCAGCGCTGGCCAGGAATCCACCAACCCAAGACTTGTCATCAGCTGAGCATGAGTTCGAATCGAAACTGTCAGAACATTGTGCCTGTTGAGCTGGAGCAGAAGAGAGTCGTGTTCGGGTTCGTTGCGGATCTCCTTCACGGAGGAAACCGTCTTCGCCATCGGGGCTAGGCTGAAATGGTGAGACATTGATTACCATCAATCGCTGTAGCGTCTTGTACACAAGTTCAGACGGAGTTAGCTCAGTGGAGACAAGCGGGGCTCAAGTGCATCTTTCTCGACTAAATTCCGCCCTATCAAGGAATTAAGAAGACAAAACTGGAACTACTGTAAACCCACTTTTAATTATTGAGCACTTATTTCGCACCAGCAACAACGGGTCTCAACTCGAAACTGGTTCTTCACTATTCCAAGAATACATCACGGGAGTGAGCAGTTGTGAGCGGAAATCTTCACCGCAGAGGGGACTCAAACCAGAAACTCACGCTTTTCGGGCCAGGGTGCTATCGGTTACCTCTTACGCTCTCGGCGGCAGTTCAATCAACTTCAGGTATGTGAAACCTTCGGCTTGTCCCAGATTCACTGCCAATCGCGGTGCAGCGTGGGGATGTGCGGAGT